TGAAAGAGTGAACTTCTTAGAGCAACCTCTGCCACGTCCCCACGGGCACACCAGTCCCCATTGCACCGGGATGCCAGCAGGCACTGGGACTGCTGTTTCTGCGTGCAGGGCTTTGCCTCCTTCCTCCTCCAGTATTTTTGGGGTTTCCTCACACAAAGCACTTTGCTGTTTGCAAACAACATGGCGAATTTGCAGGAGGTTCAGAGTGGTTTTTTTCTTTTTCTTGGCTATCTTTACTCTCCCTTTTTAAAGTGTTATCCATCTCTTTTGCCATTTCTTTCAGAATCATCTGAATAATGTGTCAACCAATGAGATACGTTTTGCTAGTTGGTTAGGTCCAAAATATTGGGCTCTCTAGTGTCTGGCTCTTTACCCACAGCAGTGCTTATTGTCAGGTTATTTACAAAAAAGAAAGAATTGCTACAAACAATGGGAAAAACACTAAACAATTTGCCTAGCAGACATTTGCATGGATTTGTCAGTTATTGCTGGTGAAAGGCATTGCAGTGCAGGCAGCCTGTCCCTGAGCCCTCGCCACACTTGGTGAGACATCAGCACCAGCTGGCTTTCTGCATGGCAATGCCTTTCCCCCCAGGAAGGCACTGGAATATACTGGGTAGATGTAAAGCATGTTGAGTTGTGCACCTGAAAATGTGGAGAGACTCACTGCACTGGCTTGCTTTCTAAGATCACGTTTAGGTGCAGAGGGCAGTGGTGATGTTACTGTGCATCTGCTACACAGATAATTCTGGTGTGATGAATATGTTTTGTACAGCGAAGCCCAGTCTTCCCACTCCATGCGCTTCTGGCACCTTTAAAGAGCTGTCTCCTTCCTTTTGGAAAAGCCAAAATGAGCCCAAGCCCTTCAAGCTAGGTAGCTCAGTGTGCTCCGGCTTTGATCAGAGGGGTACGTCTCCCTCCCTCCCCAAGGACTTGCTGAGCCAGCAAATTTAATGCAGCACAGGGTGGCTCTTTCGCTGGGCTAGCCAGTCTTTCCCTGGGCTAGCCAGGGGTGTGGGGGGGGCAACTGCTTGCTGCACAGAAAGTGCTTCCCTCATCCCCTCCAGCCTCAAAATTAAGCAGGTTAAGTCAAAATTCAAGATCCCGCACCCGGCTTTCACCAGCACAGGGTCCTGGCCAGACCAGGGTGGGGGCTGAGCTCCTCTTTAGCCCCTGCATTCACAACATTTACCCCACGTCAGGCAGAAAGGAGCAAAGCCTGGGGAGAGCAGTCCCTGCAGAGGCGAAGGGCTTTGCTGCCATCTCCTGCCAGCCCTAATAACGTCTGTTTTTTTCTTTTGCAGGCCTATACAATTCAGGGACAATACGCTATTCCACACCCGGATGTGAGTTTTACCCTAATTTTTCTTATACCCTTTTATGTCACCTGCATGCTACTGTTAATTCACATAATATTAATATTAGACAATAATATTAATAGCACATTTTCAAAGTAACTGGCCGTGTGTAGTATCTGTAATACCTTGAATAGCCTTTTAACCTGTTAGCACTAAACTTGATTAATTCTGAGGACTTGGCCTGATGCTAAATTGTTTGCATTGTTCAGTGCTATCCCTTTGTTCTGAGACAAACTATACTCTATGCATTTTGTGCCTCAAAATGATCAAAACGCACAAAGAAAGGGAAAAAAAAAAGACTTTCCCCTCTATTTTCCCCCTTATCCTTAAGTATTCATAAGCCAAGGGCTTCTTTAGGTGCTGAGTGCCTTGGTGGGGTGGGGAGAAGGCGGAGCTGCAGCGGTGCATGGTTTCTTGCTTGAAGCTTGGGCAGGGGGATGTGCCTTTATGGGGGTCCTCCTCTGGCTGACTCGGAAGCAGGCCCTGAGGCTGGGCAAAATGCGACCTACATCCCCCGGAGGGATGGAGAGGCTGGCCGTCTGCCACACTGCTGGGTCTCACCTTGCTGATGGCTCTGTGCCTCCCCACGGGAGCTGGACCCCAGACTGAAGCAGTCACGCTGGGTTTGACGGCTGTCTCGCTGGGTTTGGCTCTCTGTCGCCCCGGGGGGGCATCGTGGGCACGGTCCCTGGTCCCCGCTTCATCTCGCGCTCCTTGGTGTGGAGACAGGCGCCGCTAAGGCTTGCAGCACAGATGGGTTTTGCTGATGCTTGGATCCTCCTGCTCGTGCCAGGCTCCCGTGCCTCGGGTGGGTCAGGGAGCCACAGGATGTTTGC